ATTTTGCTGTTGCTTTCTTATTGTTATCTTTCCTTTCTTTTACTTTTTTGATTCCAGATGGTCAGTGCGTGTAGGGTGTGCGTGTAGTGATGAGCTGATTATTTCAATACTCGAATCAGTTTTACCATTAGGCTTTACTAAAAATTTCATAGCTAAATTATAAGCTTTTACATAATACATAATATTTATTTTTACAAAACTCATTAGTTTTTGTTTAAACATTTTTTTCTAGTCGGGATGTGTTTCCCGTTATTGTGCGTCGCGCCCATTATGCTTGCTTCGCTCAAATACACATTTTTCGTCTATGGGGAAAGCATCATCTTATTTGAACTTTTTATATTTTTAGAGTAGACGATATCTTATAAAATAGAGCTCTCGATTTTGTTCGCAAATTTTCAAACAGCCCGGGTATATGAGCAGCGAGTACTCGCACACTTGTTCAATGCTCATTACTCGAAAATTTTCGAGCACAAGCTCGAGCAATTCGAGTTTTTTCGAGTAATTTGAGCAATGTTTTTTTTTTATTATATTGACATTTTTGGTAGCAACTTTTAAAATTTTTCAAATTATTGATATATAATGCAAAGATTGTTACATTGGTATTTAATAATATAATTTATTTAACATGAATTAGAAAGCAGCTGCTGACAAATACAATTTACAAATTTTCTTTTGTTTATGAAATTGTTCAAAACTCGAAAATTTTGAACAAACATTTGAGCAGTTGAGCAATGAACGAGTTTCGAGCGAGTATCGAGCTACTCGCATTGCTCGATACCCGGGTATCTAAAGCTCTACTATAAAATAACAATGAAGTAAATATTTTCGGGTTTCCGAAATAGTTTTGAAGTAGGTATATTGGGCACCGAATATTGGGTGTCGACAAATTAAGCGCATCACTAGTGTAGGCTATTTGTATTAAAGTGAATGTGTATCGTCATATATTTTCTTCCATTGTAATAGTTTGCTTCCGCTTGATTAAGCACACTTACTCACTTACATGCATAAATACATATTAATAACATTACGCATTATTCGAACGCTTGACAACGTATTACATACATTGAATAAATATGCCCACCACTAAATGTGATAAGAATGTATATTCCTACAAATGTACATTACGGTGATCCAAAAAATTTTCCAACCACCCTTAGAAATGAAGACTATTGAAAACAAGGAGACCTCCATTTTAGTTTTTGAAATCGGCTAATATTTAACTGTGCAGCCGGGGCTTTGAAGTCGTCCATATATTTTACATGGGGAAAAATTTTTTTTCGTATAATTGCTATAAGGGCGTTTTGAAAAGTTTTTTGAGATAGGGCGTTTTCGAACTGGCTGCCGAGATAGTTTAATCTTGCACTCAGCAGTCGATTTGTTCAAAACGAATTTTACGCCAACGCTAAATTTTATTAATTGCGGTCTACCCCTGGCATACGTCGGATTCAGATCGCTCGTAATTATTTCCAGTTTCCTAATTGTGAATTGGCTCAAGGAAAAGGCATTTGGCTGCAACCTAGAAATACCTTCTTTTTATTACCGAGCGCACTTGAGCACAAGGTCATATATGTATTGCTCGGAATGAATTACTGAACCTGTATGATGTTGCGTGATGAACAAGAGACCTTAAAAAATTTCAATGTCGCGAGGGATTTGCTGTGTGCATGGATTGAAGGAAGAGTAATTTTAAGCACTTGAGGTGGAAGTAAAAAATCCCGTCAGAATGAATACTTGTACATCAATACCGGAAAAGTATGCGAAGGAAGTGGCTTACGTAACGTAGAGATACATACGCCACAATGAAAGTGTTGCGTTTGCGAACAAAAATCAGCTGTCCTTGATGGCCGCGTACTTGCGGTGTACACAAGTCCCTTTTTCAGATACATTAGCAGTACATTCACACTTTTTTACTAATATACTCACAATTCTCTCATTGTCTTCGTCACTGTCTTTAACAGTTTATTGTCTGGACGCCTTCCTAACTCAAACAATGCGACAACTAATAGATACATATTCTCCATCATATTGTCTTGTGCAAACGCTGGGTTATACAACGTCAGCATTCCCGGATTTACTTTCGTCAAAAGTTAAGAGTTGGCCAATGTTCGTTGGGTCTGGAGACGCAAAGGTTGCATATCTGATCTGATCTCTCTAACACACTGGCGACCCACCTTTCTCTATCGTAATACCTCCACGGTCCATCGGTCCATGGTGGAGGAAAAACCTAAATTTGTATCGCACTCCTTATATACTATATAATTTACCATCAAGTATTGCAAATATATATACAATTGGCTGGCCCTTAAAAAACCAAAAAATTGCTAAACACACTAAACAATCAACATACTTACGAAGCTATGGGTCAGATTTAGTAAAACTGCGTTTTTAGTATTTCTCTCTGACGTCGAAAATATAATTTATCCATAAAATTATTTAGGAAAATTCAAATTCAGGGTAATGTTGAATAATAATATGGATACCAAATGAAGGAGAAAATTTTTCAGAATTTAAAAAATTTTGCTCATTTAGTTCTCAAGGACGAATAGGTATTAAAAATGTCCTTTTAATTTATTTTATTTTCCTTAGCTAATAATGTTGGAAGGGTGAAATTCGCGGATCTGGCCCTGTGTATATTATTTGCTAACATACAATTTTTTCAAGAATACTTATTGCAAGTTTTCAAGCATATTCAATAATTAATTTTTAAAAGAACTTTTTCGGTTCCTATCCTTTTGCACCAAAAAATTTAAACTTTTTTATTTCATAGAATTTTCTCTTTTATATACCAATGTGGCTATTCTCCATTGCACTGAGTTTTTTTAATAATTTGTATAACTTATCATATCTTTAAAATATCAAAGTCCTTTTGAAAAAATCCTGGCGTCAGAGTGAAAAACTGAAAACGTAGTTTCACTAGTTTCGGCACCTAGTTTCGCGAGTATATTATTTTTTTTTGTATGAAAAATTTACTGTCACACGGTATTACAGTTGATAAAATTGTTTTCCGAATCTTTCAACATGTAAAATTGCTCTATTAAAGAAAGAATACAATATGAGACTTTTGGGACTGTTTCAATTGAACTAGCAAGTCAATGTCAGGATTGAACGAAGATGATTTTAATCTTATGCTTTTCTTATCTTCTCTGATGGTTTATTCAATTGCTTCTAATAGTTTTAATATCGATTCGCGACCCACCTGTAAGCCTTCCACGACCCAATAGTGAGTCGCGACCAACGGTTTAGAAACTATGTCCTACAAAGTTTCAAAGTGCCCCCCACTGCATACCTTTTGCGATAGTTCCGAGCCATTTATAAAATTGGACATATGAGTGCTAGTTTGTGCTGCCTCTCTTTTTCTATAGTTCTGAAATATTTAGATCTAAATTCGTCACCTTAGATATATGTAGATTTCGAATGAAAAGTTTTTTTTATTCCTTGGTACTTATCACATTTTTTGTCACTATTTTGTACCTATCAAATTTGCGTATCATCGAATGGAAACGGTTGGAAATAAAATAGGTAGTTCGATCCGTTAGAAAACGGTGTATTTTTAATTGTTCTTGCTTCTTGCGGTAAAATACATTTTTTGTAAAGTGGACTTATCAACTTTTCACTGTGAGTTAGCGACATGAAGTTTAAAAAAGTAAAATAAAAGTTGGCGATCTAGTTGCTAACGGACTGGTTCATTTTTGGCGATACAGAACTAGTACTGAACGACTAATTTGATTCCCTCGTTGGTGTTTCCACTGCAGGGATTTTACAAAGAGCTTTTCGCACCACTACTATTCATTAATGCAATGCGTGGCTCAGCAATAAATTGGCGATTTCTTTCATTCCTTTATTAAATTAATTTTATTTGTTTTAGAAATGTTTATCGCCACATTTATTATGCGTACGAATATGTAATTTCCTATTTATTATATGTCCATATCTATTCGGTGTGAGTGTGTTTACATGTACATATGTAAAGTATGCGTGCGCATGTTGCACAGCATTAATGAATCGTACCGAATGAAGTGTTGATGGGCGCTTTTTTATTAAAAATATATGTACATAGACATGGTAGTGATTGATATTGTGGTAATATTCGTAATCCACAAACGAATTATTTTATTCTAAAATGAAACAAAGCAAAAAGAAATCGCATGCGTGTTACTCGCATATTAATCGTTTCCGAAATCAATTTACTCTGAATGGTTAGCTCTTAGGTTGGTCTGCTGGTTTGACTAAACTTGGTCAGCACACAGAAATGGTGTTCTCAGCGATTTTTTCTTTTAGTATTAAAAATATGTTCCCTTCTTTTGGTTTTCGCAACACCTACGCCGCCAGTGACAAATAAGCATTATTTATTGCCTTTTTCGGCGATGCTCATTTTGATTTTCTGTTTTTTTTTTATTTTTTCTTTCATCGCATTTTAAAAAAAATATTATGGAAATCATTTAATCATAGTTATTGACTTTAATACCAAGTAAGTTCGACAATAACCTCGCGAACGTTTCTAAAATAATTTATGACCACTTGTCTGCGGGTCGTAATCAAAATGTCAAGGAACTATTAAAGTTTGATTAAGAATTTTTTTTTCTGAGTCATAAATTTGATTACAACTGCTAACAATGTTTTTAATGTAATTTTTATATTCTTGTTTTTTTTTATGATTTTATTAAGTTCTTTATTCTTTTGTTGCTATTCTTGCTTTTATGCGCTCGTAAAAGTCAATCAAAAATATGTTTTCATAGAATCTTACAATTTAAAAATGCATTCTTTCATAAACAAGTGTGTACGTTTGAGTATGTAAATATGTATTAGCATTATAATTATATACGTACATACATATGTACATATGTCTGTACACTTGTATAAAACTATAAAAAAAAAGCATTATAATCCACCAATCGAAGTGTCACCTTTTATGATTATTTCTAATATTTCGATTAAGAAATCTAAAAGTCTTCGAACAATTAAATTTTAAATTCATGGCGTTCTTTCTTTACTCATTTCAGAGTCATTGCGTGTCGCCGACTTTCGAGAAGGAGCTTCGTGAACAATTGGATAAGTAAGTTTTTTAAATGTAATGTCCGAAGATATTTGGTGTTACACATAGTCTTAAAGTATTTTTTGTTAAAAAAAACATACAAGCCGTATTCCTTTTGAATCTTAATAAAAGCTTAACAAATTAGATAAAATTTTTTAAAACTACGAACGCAGATAAATTTTTTCCCCTTATTTTATTTTTAATATAAAAATAAAAAAATCCAGTTTAAAATCGAATAGTTTTAATATAAGATACAATTTATCGTTTATAAGATACGAATTATCGGAAAGGTTGAGGTATTTTTTCCAAAAGCATTAACCCACTAAACCAAGTGCTATCCCAAATGAGGAGATCGAAGATTTCACCTCCGATATCTCCCCCAAACTATTGAAGATGCGTGATCCCAAATGCTGCGACTGTAGGCGCGGGCAGGGACTCAGAAATTGCTAAATTGATTCCTCCTCATCCTCATCATAGGCGCCATAGACGGTGCGTCTGACTCGCGAGTCATTTGAATCGTTCAGAGTCAGGTCGGTGTAACTAACACATATTTAGTCAGATGCACCGTGTATGCCGCCTATAAGTTCCCTGTCTTCTTTCTACTAAGCCGCGTCCTTAACAATCTTGAGTTCTCACAGTCTCTCCACTTGGCCACAAGTTATTAGTAACGGCTATGATGAATCAGTAAATTTTTCTAACGTGATTACTAGGGTAACCAAAAATATGCCGAAAAAACATGATTTTAGGCGCTTAAAATATGCACGATAAAATAAGAAATATGCATAAATATGCACGAATAATATCCAAAATATGATCAGAATATATATTAAAAAAAATATACAGCTCAATTTTTCTTGGGTAGAAATTATTTGCATTTTATTCAGAAAAGTGCAATAACACTGGTAAAAGTAAAATATTACACATTCAGAACATATTCGCTTACATAAGTATAGAATTAAAAATGCAAATTTAACTTAAATAAATATTTTTGTTACAATAAAGAACGAAATATTTGGAGAACAATTTATCAGCCGACACGTTTTTGCTACACAGTTTGCAATTCAGAGTTGGAATTCATTTACATACATACTAGGGCTATTCGCGATCCGGTGCAAATGGCCTAGCATCATTGCATTGCAAATTTGTATTGCAAATTATTTGCAATACACAAACAAAATACACGCATTTGCATTTGTCATGGCTTGGCAAATTTGCAATACCGAAAATCCATAGCATAAAAATGCTATGCATTGCATTCGTAAAGAAAACCAAAGCTGATGCACAAAAATTGTTTTGCAAAAGCTTTACCATGACAGTTTAATAAAGGTCGCTCACAATCCATGGCATATTTCTGCAATTGCATAAATTTGTCAGCTCTTATGCACCGAATCGCGAATAGCCCTATTAGTTTAAGTTCGAGGATTTAAGAGCTTTATGCTTCAGCATCTGAGAAGCAGCACTGTTTAATCTATACATACGGTGACCATCCGTCCTGTATTATACGGGACAGTCCTCTTTTTTGACCCATTGTCCTGGTAATTTATTTATTTTATACGGGACGGCAAATGTTCTGTATTTCTTTTAGTGTCCTGTATTTGTCCCGTATTCGGTACTTCGACGCCTTAACAGGTCATTAAAATGGCATGCCTATGAACGAGTTTCAAATAATGTTGGTATATGATAGTAATTTTTTCCATAAACAGTTATTATTTTTCAATTTGAATGCCTCTGATTCGAATCAAGGAATACATACATTGGCCAAAATAGAAATTAGGACTTCACATTTAAGTAAGGTTTGGCTATTTTGCCTTAGTTTATTTAATTTTCTTACTTTGTATGAAAAAAGGCGTAACACCGTCAACAAAAAACAAATTGCCAAAAATGAATGGTAAGCCTTAGCGACTTAAATTTAACGATTTTTTTTTAGAAATTATACGCGGTAGAACTCTCGAGAAAATTATCCTAAAAATTTGTGGTATTACTAAAATGATACTGTTTCAGGGCTAATTCATCCAGGATCATTGAAGAAGGCAATCTGTAAGCTGTTGTGGAAAAAATTGAAAATAATTTTTTGTCCCGTATTCGGATCTCATAAATATGGTCACCGTATCTATACATATAATAAAGTAACAGGCCGAAGCCAAATCAACAATTTTTAGAATTTTTGTCTGTCTGTATGTTTGTACGCGCATCACTTGGAAACTAATACATGAAATCGAATGCAGTTTTCACCTACGTATGTATTGCTTGAGGTGTAACTTAATAAACAGAAGAAACAAAAATAGATAGTTGCCACCTGTTTACAATTAGAATTACTAAACAGCATCTGGCCATCTCATCCTTCAACTCGCTCTCTCTAACGAAGAAGAACATTGATATGGCTGGGTGACGCCAAAGTGGCCCGACATTTCCCCATCACCCCCAATTTCAGTGTTTTATATTCCTGAAACAAGCAAAACTTTGCTACGCCCGAGGTCGCTTTGGGTTAAATTATTTGAGTACCCGCACTTTGCTTAATATTTTCCTTCAAAATTTTTAGCTGCCAAAAACCTTTTCCATATCCATTCCATAAACTGTAAGGATTTTTTATCAGATCAATTCTCAAATGCCTGCCGAGTTTAATTATTGTTTTGGATCTCCCAGCTTATATTTCCAGAATGAAGGTTTGGGCCGTAATTTGAAGTCTCATTTTTGATTATAGAGTTCCTTGACAGTCAGCCTGCGCCGTACCTTATTTAGCCCAATTATCTGCCATTTTAATGTTTCCACTGTGACCGAAGATCAACTACCTTCGATCAGTTGAATGCAATCCCACACGATTTGAAAGACAGCTTCATACGTTTTCAAAGCGAGAGCGCCTTAATTCTCCACTGTCTGCAGTTCAAACATAGTCCCATTGTGTTAGCCGTATCTTGGAAGATATAGCTGTCTTTCTTTATGCTAGGTTGTAAGGACCCTACTCCGTCGCCTTGGTCGATTTTAGAGAGATGGGTTTAACTCTAAAATCAAGGCTTCTTTCGGATATCGATATCCAGAAAAGATGAGTTAAGGGGATTCTGTATGCTGGAAGTTTTGCGTCTAACCCTGTGATATCCGTGTAAGTCCGAATTTTGTGTTTAACTCACGTATTTTTGCACTAGACAGGCTCGTCTTAGGGTAGATTAGGTTGATGAAGGCGCACTTTGTGCTAAGATGACCCGTTGTGATCCCGTTTAACTGGCCCATTTACCTAGAAATAGAACCAGTTAGTTAATCTAATGAAACATTGTGGTCCAAAGATTTTATTAGTACTGCTGGTGACACTTCGGCCTAAATGTAGACAGAACTGGGAAATTTGCTTTATTCAGTGTGGACGGTGAAACCTGCGTACCGAGGGAAGCCTTTTATAAAGAGACTCCGCTAGTACCTTATTGTATTAGGATTAGTTTAGCACCTCTTTCCTTTTTGAAGTCACAAAAGTAGCTCGGGTACCCACATTACTTATCGATAACAAAGGTTTACAATAAAAACTGTCTACATATTGAACCAAACCTCTATGTATGTTATTCGAATCCTAGGTCTGTTAGCCTCCATCACGTCAGGTTCGAGGTCATTTAAAGGTCAAGTAGGGAAAAATTCATAGAATAAACCTGAAAATTCAATACAATTCTTCTAAATTTGACCTTGGGTTGACCGACCTTGGCATGACCACCAGATGACCTTGAAAAACCAAGGGACCCCAATATGCGGATTCTGCGACAACAAAAACAAAAAAATATATATGTTTTTATTGAATATATTTACTATAGCAATGACCTCGTCATTACTCTGTATGAATATAAAATATGAAATTCTGTAATCCTAAATACTTGCCATGGGGACTGCCACGATATGATAATCGTCGGAAATAAGTCAACAATGACGAGTTCCTTTGCTATGTCTATCTCTAGCATACCCTCATGTCGACTGCTGCAACTTCGACAATATGTAGTGTCGTCAGCCTCCTCTGACCCCTATGTCAAAAGTTGGTCTTTTGATTTCGCGGTTAAGCAATTGTAGATAAAGCCTCCGGTTAGTGTTAGAACAGGTCCACAGGGAGCGTCGCCTACTTCCTTAAAGTTGTATCAGCCAGAAGGCGGCAAAGTACGCCAACGGATATATTCGAGGAGTCATCCATGTAATAAGGTAGAAGCAGTGGCTAAAAACTCAACTACATTCCTGCAAGGCTGGCATATCTCGGCCATTCTATGGCCTCACTTACTTCCAAATATTGGTTTGTAATGTTTCCTTCGATAGCCGAATGAGCACCAGAATTGCGCCCTGTGCCTGTGGGGGTCTGTTCAGAGTTTAGTCCCTCTAAATGACCACAAATCCAGCACCAGGTTGAAATCCCGCAGCCTGGATAACCTCGTATAGCGAAGCCGATGGTTCGTCTGCGCAGGGTACAACACTGAGATAAGAGTTTACTCACGTCTACTTAATATATTTCTCTTAACACATGATTTGGTAACTACAACCTAATCACTCATCTTTTTTCTCGGTGCAGGTTTAGGTGAAATTGATTTGGATTTTTATGTTGGGCCCACTCCAAGTGCTGAAAAATACAGAAAGCATTTTCTCAGCTGATGTTTCTTCTGCTAAAGGTGGTAAAAATCTAATTATTAAGTGTCGTTTACACACACTGAGAAAAAGGATTAGTTTCGACAACTAAAGATATTTAGTTCCCGAATTTTGACAATATTTGGGAACTGTTACCAAGGATTGGGAACTATTACCATCGATTGGTAATTATAACTAAATATATTAAAGCTTCTAATATTCATCTAGGTTGTAACAAATCGTTAATTTAGTTGAAGGGTTTGGTTAATACTAATAAAGATTTCTTTGAAGCATATTTCTACAAATTCCATTCAACTTAACGCATGGTTCATAAAAGGATGTTATTAAGCTCTGCTAATGCAGATAAGCTTTCTTTCAACACGTGGTTTAGTCATAGTTACCAAATCTTAGTTGAGGCAACCACGATTTGGTTTGAGAGTGGA